GCGGAGGCGGAGTAGGCGAAGCTCCCCAGGGAGTGCTGGTCGCCGCGCAGGTCCACCTCGCCGTCCAGCCGCTGCAGAGGCTGAGGAGGCAGCGCGGGTCGGCGCCGTCAGCCAGACGGGGAGACCCCGACGCCCCGCCCCGGACGCGCCCCCAGACTCACCATGCGTGGGTGCTGGGTCTGCAGCGATACAAACTGCCCGAGGGGCGCCATGTGGGGGGGCTGCGGCGGTGGGGGGTGCAGGATGTAGTGGTCACTGGAGATGAGGTGGGGGTAGGCCTGGTAGGGCACGGGCAGCTGCTGCATGGTGCACGCCTGGATCAGCTGGCGAGAGAGGCGGCGGGAGTGGGCGCTGAAGACCGCTCCGGGCCCTGGCGCGGCGCCCGGCCGGAAGGGCCCTGCTGCCCGCCCGACCCGAGCTCCTGGCCTGCACACAAACCCTCCCGGGTCCCGCCCCTGCCCCGGCCACCCGGCAGGACTCTTAAGTCCACGGCCCAACCCCAGGGCCCGGGCCGACCCGTGAGGCAGGCCCCGGGCACAGGAAGGCCCCCCAACCAGGAGACGCTGTCACTGTGTGTGAGCACAGCCACCCCTCCCTGGGGGAGGCCGGAGTGCCAGCGGCCGGGCGGGTGCCCCAGCCAAGCCCAGCCGAGCGTCCTGGGGGGCAGGCGGACGCGTGGCGCCCACTCACCGGGGGCGGGAGGCAGCAAAGCGGGTAGTGCTGCCCACTGAACATCACGGAGCATGCTGGGAGCTGCTGGGCGCTGCAGCCAGGGATGTGCTGGCCGGCAGGCAGGGGGAAGCCTTGGGTAGTCACGGTGGTGACTGTGTACGACAGAGGGACGGGCCCCTGGTGCACCTGTGGGTGGAGAGCGCCGGAAAATAGGAGAACAAGTCCTGGGGGCAGCGCCAGCTCCCTCCCTCCCCAGCGCGTCCTACCTAGGGACAGGCCAGACGGGGTCACTGCCCCGCCCGAGGGCGGAGAGGGCTCCCTGGGAACCCAAGGGGGTGTCTAGCCCTGCCAATCACCGGCGTGGCCCCAGGGCAGGACCCCTTCCCCGGGCCTCAGCTTACCTACCTGTAAAGCAGACCTAGCAACGCCTCCCTGGGACGCACAGAGAGCGCAGCCAGGCGAGACCAGGGCATGGCTGCCCGCCTCTCGGGCGGGCTGGCAGAGGCTGGGCGCAGAGGGGCGCGGTCCCGCCTACCTGCTCGTGGAGATCAACCATGAACGGGCTCTGCTGAGTGGCCGGGTGCAGCATTCGGGGGCTCCCGCTGGCAGGAGCCGAGGCTCGGCGCTCCTCTACGGGGAGGGGTGGCAGCGGGGGCGGCAGCTGCTGGGAGGGTAAGCGCTCATCCTGGGCAGGCGGGCCGGCCGGGGGGCCCCCGCGGCCGCGGCTGCACCAGAGAGGAGCCCCAGAGCACTGAGGGGCCGCTCGCCCGCGGAGCAGGGGGAGAAGCCAGGTCGCCACCCCACCGGGGAGGGCAGATGGCACAGTGCCCGAGCCGCCCCACCGGCCCCTGGCCCCGCTGAAGTGGCAGCCCGCGCCAGACCCGGGAGGCTCCTCCTACCTTCCCCACAGCTGGCCCAGAGAGCTGCCGGGTCCTGCAGAGAAGCGCCGCTGGCC